TTTCTAAAAATATAAATTAAATAAACCTTTCATTTAATTACACGTGTAAAGAATTTTGCAGAAAGCAAATGTACGCCATCATTACCCTCTTTACTTCCTGGTGATTGTCGTTACATGAACCGATGGGCGGCTGTTATGGTGACGTGGAGTCATGCCAATGGCCACAGCTTCCTCGAAAGTTCGGACAGACCACTTCTGTTCTCTTTTGACTGATGGCCTGGGTCAAAAGTTTTCACAAGTTGCTAACTTCAACTTGTCCTCCAGATATCAATATGGGCCCCAGTTTGGTGCTTGGGAATAACAAGATCAGACGGCTCGGGAAAATATTGGTATGGACAACGGGTATATATATATATTTTTTGGTACATTGGACAACAGTTATATATATTACTAACTAATACCTCTCAGTCAACATTAGGCACTTGCGTGGTTGCATGGATAATGTTAGTGAATATAACATTTATAATTTTATTCTTAATTATAAAGGTAGTATAATAATAATAATAATTTTATAAAGGTAATATAATTAATTTTATTATTATTATATATTTTTATTTTTTTATTTTTTAAATTAAAAATTTTAAAATAATATTTGTATTTATCTATAATATAATATTATTAAAAAAAATTTTGTTATTAGATGATTAATTAAAATGAATAAATAATTATAACACTAGAATAAAAAAAATATTTATCTATTTTAAAAAATAAAAAATAATAATTAATTTGAGACAAATTCAAAGTCTATAAAAAAAGAGTTTAAATTTTAAATTTTAAAATTTTTTTTAATAAATTAAAAAATTAGCATCTCCATAATGCAACAGATTAATTGACCCTAGCTCTTATTAATCTAATTGCTAAATTTATGAAAGGGAAGGAGAGAATATATTGGAAGGGTTATTATTGATGGACCTACAAATCATTCTTATTATATTAACGTGATAATAGTGTTCACTAGTGCGAGAAAAGAATACTTCAATTATTTATGATCTTCCTTTCTTGACCAGTGCCAAAAACCAAGCAACTGCTTTATAATAAAATGATGTAAAAATTTCTAATCTATTAGTGTTAGTTCACTAACAAATCTTTTTCTTATGTTTATGGGTAGAGTACCTTTATACTCTTTTAATAAAATTATTTCCTTTGGCTTATCAAAAAAAAAAAATTATTTATGATCTTAGACCTTGAATTCTAAGAGATGGTTGCAATGATGATTACCATTTTTTTACTTTATTAATTTGAGATCAAGCTATCATTTTGTAA